AAAAAAAAAAGGATTGGCAGATGTTAGCACAGGGCTGATCTCCTCACAAAATATATATATATATATCCTTCAGGAATAAAGGAAAAATCAAGACATTCTCAGACGAAGGAGAACAAAGAGAAGTTGTTACCAGCAGACCTACTTTAAAAGAATGGCTAAAGTGCTTAATCAGAAAGGAATTATAAAAGAAGGAATCTCGGAACATCAGGAGGGAAGAAAGAACAACAAGAGAGTAAAAACATGAGTAAATAAAATAGAGACTTCTCAAGTTTTTTAAATTATGTTTGATGGTTGAAGTGAAATTATAATACTGTCTGATGTGGTTTTCAATGTATGTAGAGGAAATGTTTAAGACACTATATTATAAATGGGGAGGGTAAAGGGATTTAAATGATGAGAGGGAAAGATAGGTGTGATTATAAAGCGGTAGTATGAGGGAGATCTTTGTGGTATCTTGACTGCAGTGGTGGTTCCACAAATCTATACATGTGATAAAATGGCACAGAACTATGCACATTTTACCAACGTCAACTTTCTGGTTTTGATATTGTATATAGTCACCTCAGATGTATCCATTGGGGGAAGTGGGTGAAGGGTAAAAGGGATCTCTCTGTACTGTTTGCAATTTCCTGTTGGATCTATCATTATCTCAAAATTAAAAGTTAACTTAAAAAGACAGGGCCCAGTCCCGTGGCCGAGTGGTTAAAGTTCCACACACTCTGCTTCAGCGGCCTGGGATCACAGCTTCGGATCCTGGACACAGACCTACTCCACTCACCAGCCATGCTGTGGTGGCGACCCACATACAAAAATTAAATAAAATAGAGGAAAATTGGCACAGATCTTAGCTCAGGGCTAATCTTCATCAAGCAAAAAAAGAGGAGGATTAGCGACGATGTTAGTTCAGGGTGAATCTCACTCAGCCAAAAAAAAAAAAAAGACCAAGAAATTATATGAAATTCAAAACAAAAAAGAATACCTAATAAGTGAAAGCAAAATGAAACAAATAAATCCAAGTGTGTTAACTGAGTTAGTGGAACAACCACACAGAGGAACTATTTCAAGTGACTTTGTTTCACACACACAGTAATTTGACTCTACATCCTTAATAGGAAATACCCTAAGGACAAAAAGAATTGCAAAAAAGAAAAAAGTCTTCACTGTTGTCAGTCATCTTATTGTTGCTCGTCTCATTTTATTCTGACACTGTTGTGTGGATACTGTGGGATAAAGTAAATAAGTAAATATGTTGGCATCATTAAGAGCCAGGATTTTTTTGGTGTGGGAGAAAGGAGATACAGAATTAAGATTGTTAAGTAGGGCCGGCCCTGTGCTGTAGCGGTTAAGAGCGTATGCTCTGCTGCTGGCGGCCCAGGTTCGGATCCCGGGCGCGCACCAACGCACTGCTCGTCAGGCCATGCTGTGGTGGCCTCCCATATAAAGTGGAGGAAGATGGGCACAGATGTTAGCCCAGGGCCAGTCTTCCTC